TGTTGTGAGAATGATGAAGTCAACATATGTACTAATGTGCTGGACACAAATGACGTATGTACGGATTGTGATGAGTTGTATGAGCCCCTAATAAAATGATTATTTAAAATAAATTTTTTTTTAAATTACAACATGCATTTTAAACAAATCTATGTTTAAAATTAACCAACAGTATTAATGAAAAGTGGATATATCACAAAAGTAGTGAAGGTTAAATTTAAGGGACCTTCCCATTCAGCAACATAACAGCACTCTAGACTCCACTATAAGGAGAGGCTGTATATGCACTCTGCTCTCCTACATGGAAGGCAAGAATCCTACTGCTAAACCACCAAAGCTCCTCTAATAATTCAGTAATGTGTTTTCATATATTTGTGCCATCAACAACCCTTTGATTCCTAATATCTAGCCAACTGACATTACAATTTGGTACTATTTTACATTTCCTACTTCTGATCTGATCCCAACATTTCTTTTCTCTGATCATGCCTTGGCCCCATGTGGGGGGAGGTCAGATGCTTACAGATATCCTCCGGGAAGGCAATCAGTCACCAAACTAAGGTAGGCCCTTCTCCCTGCTGCTAGGGACAATGGGCTAAGGCTTGCGACCATTAGCTTGGTTCCTGTAGGTGGAGTTTACACCCTACTGATAATGGTTCCTATGCAGATCCAGAGAACAGATCAAACCGCTCAGTGAATCTAGGATCCGCCCATCTTATCACAGGTATCCCTAGATTGTCCCCCTCTCACTGCTGTATAAACTATAGTGCAACCCCTTCCTGTGACATATGTCTACCTGTAATTAGTGGGCTTGCATGCCCCCAAAGGTATATAGACCTGGGTTACCAATAAAGAGCCCCCTCTCTCTCTTGGCTCCTCTCGTGGCCTCTCATAGGCTCCCTCTCCTCCCCTGTTCCCTTTCCCCTTGTCCTCCCCTTCCCTTCCCCCTCTCTCCACGTGGACCACCAAGCGGGGCTGAGGTGAACACTGCTACCATAAAATGTGTCTGACTCCATTATTTTAATATCTCTTTTCTCTCTCATGCTCTCAATGACTTTAACATAATACTTATATAGCTCAACCGTACAATTGTGCTTACTGAACACATGATTAGTGTTGGGGGGCTGGCCACCCACCTCCAACCACAGCCCCACT